CCGCATTGAGCCAGAGATGCAGTAGCCCGCATTGAGCCAGAGATGCAGTAGCCCGCATTGAGCCAGAGATGCAGTAGCCCGCATTGAGCCAGAGATGCAGTAGCCCGCATTGAGCCAGAGATGCAGTAGCCCGCATTGAGCCAGAGATGCAGTAGCCCGCATTGAGCCAGAGATGCAGTAGCCCGCATTGAGCCAGAGATGCAGTAGCCCGCATTGAGCCAGAGATGCAGTAGCCCGCATTGAGCCAGAGATGCAGTAGCCCGCATTGAGCCAGAGATGCAGTAGCCCGCATTGAGCCAGAGATGCAGTAGCCCGCATTGAGCCAGAGATGCAGTAGCCCGCATTGAGCCAGAGATGCAGTAGCCCGCATTGAGCCAGAGATGCAGTAGCCCGCATTGAGCCAGAGATGCAGTAGCCCGCATTGAGCCAGAGATGCAGTAGCCCGCATTGAGCCAGAGATGCAGTAGCCCGCATTGAGCCAGAGATGCAGTAGCCCGCATTGAGCCAGAGATGCAGTAGCCCGCATTGAGCCAGAGATGCAGTAGTGAGCCAGAGATGCCCGCATTGAGCCAGAGATGCAGTAGCCCGCATTGAGCCAGAGATGCAGTAGCCCGCATTGAGCCAGAGATGCAGTAGCCCGCATTGAGCCAGAGATGCAGTAGCCCGCATTGAGCCAGAGATGCAGTAGCCCGCATTGAGCCAGAGATGCAGTAGCCCGCATTGAGCCAGAGATGCAGTAGCCCGCATTGAGCCAGAGATGCAGTAGCCCGCATTGAGCCAGAGATGCAGTAGCCCGCATTGAGCCAGAGATGCAGTAGCCCGCATTGAGCCAGAGATGCAGTAGCCCGCATTGAGCCAGAGATGCAGTAGCCCGCATTGAGCCAGAGATGCAGTAGCCCGCATTGAGCCAGAGATGCAGTAGCCCGCATTGAGCCAGAGATGCAGTAGCCCGCATTGAGCCAGAGATGCAGTAGCCCGCATTGAGCCAGAGATGCAGTAGCCCGCATTGAGCCAGAGATGCAGTAGCCCGCATTGAGCCAGAGATGCAGTAGCCCGCATTGAGCCAGAGATGCAGTAGCCCGCATTGAGCCAGAGATGCAGTAGCCCGCATTGAGCCAGAGATGCAGTAGCCCGCATTGAGCCAGAGATGCAGTAGCCCGCATTGAGCCAGAGATGCAGTAGCCCGCATTGAGCCAGAGATGCAGTAGCCCGCATTGAGCCAGAGATGCAGTAGCCCGCATTGAGCCAGAGATGCAGTAGCCCGCATTGAGCCAGAGATGCAGTAGCCCGCATTGAGCCAGAGATGCAGTAGCCCGCATTGAGCCAGAGATGCAGTAGCCCGCATTGAGCCAGAGATGCAGTAGCCCGCATTGAGCCAGAGATGCAGTAGCCCGCATTGAGCCAGAGATGCAGTAGCCCGCATTGAGCCAGAGATGCAGTTGCCCGCATTGAGCCAGAGATGCAGTTGCCCGCATTGAGCCAGAGATGCAGTTGCCCGCATTGAGCCAGAGATGCAGTTGCCCGCATTGAGCCAGAGATGCAGTTGCCCGCATTGAGCCAGAGATGCAGTTGCCCGCATTGAGCCAGAGATGCAGTTGCCCGCATTGAGCCAGAGATGCAGTTGCCCGCATTGAGCCAGAGATGCAGTTGCCCGCATTGAGCCAGAGATGCAGTTGCCCGCATTGAGCCAGAGATGCAGTTGCCCGCATTGAGCCAGAGATGCAGTTGCCCGCATTGAGCCAGAGATGCAGTTGCCCGCATTGAGCCAGAGATGCAGTTGCCCGCATTGAGCCAGAGATGCAGTTGCCCGCATTGAGCCAGAGATGCAGTTGCCCGCATTGAGCCAGAGATGCAGTTGCCCGCATTGAGCCAGAGATGCAGTTGCCCGCATTGAGCCAGAGATGCAGTTGCCCGCATTGAGCCAGAGATGCAGTTGCCCGCATTGAGCCAGAGATGCAGTTGCCCGCATTGAGCCAGAGATGCAGTTGCCCGCATTGAGCCAGAGATGCAGTTGCCCGCATTGAGCCAGAGATGCAGTTGCCCGCATTGAGCCAGAGATGCAGTTGCCCGCATTGAGCCAGAGATGCAGTTGCCCGCATTGAGCCAGAGATGCAGTAGCCCGCATTGAGCCAGAGATGCAGTAGCCCGCATTGAGCCAGAGATGCAGTAGCCCGCATTGAGCCAGAGATGCAGTAGCCCGCATTGAGCCAGAGATGCAGTAGCCCGCATTGAGCCAGAGATGCAGTAGCCCGCATTGAGCCAGAGATGCAGTAGCCCGCATTGAGCCAGAGATGCAGTAGCCCGCATTGAGCCAGAGATGCAGTAGCCCGCATTGAGCCAGAGATGCAGTAGCCCGCATTGAGCCAGAGATGCAGTAGCCCGCATTGAGCCAGAGATGCAGTAGCCCGCATTGAGCCAGAGATGCAGTAGCCCGCATTGAGCCAGAGATGCAGTAGCCCGCATTGAGCCAGAGATGCAGTAGCCCGCATTGAGCCAGAGATGCAGTAGCCCGCATTGAGCCAGAGATGCAGTAGCCCGCATTGAGCCAGAGATGCAGTAGCCCGCATTGAGCCAGAGATGCAGTAGCCCGCATTGAGCCAGAGATGCAGTAGCCCGCATTGAGCCAGAGATGCAGTAGCCCGCATTGAGCCAGAGATGCAGTAGCCCGCATTGAGCCAGAGATGCAGTAGCCCGCATTGAGCCAGAGATGCAGTAGCCCGCATTGAGCCAGAGATGCAGTAGCCCGCATTGAGCCAGAGATGCAGTAGCCCGCATTGAGCCAGAGATGCAGTAGCCCGCATTGAGCCAGAGATGCAGTAGCCCGCATTGAGCCAGAGATGCAGTAGCCCGCATTGAGCCAGAGATGCAGTAGCCCGCATTGAGCCAGAGATGCAGTAGCCCGCATTGAGCCAGAGAGACAGTAGCCCGCATTGAGCCAGAGAGACAGTAGCCCGCATTGAGCCAGAGAGACAGTAGCCCGCATTGAGCCAGAGAGACAGTAGCCCGCATTGAGCCAGAGAGACAGTAGCCCGCATTGAGCCAGAGAGACAGTAGCCCGCATTGAGCCAGAGAGACAGTAGCCCGCATAAAGCCAGAGATACAGTAGCCCGCATAAAGCCAGAGATACAGTAGCCCGCATAAAGCCAGAGATACAGTAGCCCGCATTAAGCCAGAGATACAATAGCCCGCATTAAGCCAGCAGAAACAGGGTGAGTTAACAAACAAAAATCCAACAGTCTCTGGGTTGAAACTTGAGGTTGAAGCCATCGAAGCTTTGGCTTCCTCTGGTAAGCCCAGCCCGTCCTCCAAACAAAGATCCAAAAGTGATTCCACGCACCCGCCAAACCCCCTGTTTATGAATGAAAAGCGGTTTACACACAACCCGTCCTCGACTCAAGTCCATTACATCCAGCGGTCGACCCCACAGACGCATTCATAAATTTTAACATGCTGTTCATTCAAAACGGGAATTTTCTCAAGTATAAATTAATATTATAATAGCATATTGTGCATATATAGGCATAGGATAGGTTAGGTTAGGTGTTTAGGTTCTGTTGGCGATTATTTGTATTTGTAGTACGTGGGTGAAGCATTTATGGCGTTGTGATTCGAACAAAATTCGTCAGTGAAGCACTTGTTCCGGATATGTTCGAACGTCAGCAGTTGTGAGTCGTGTGTAAACCGCTTTTCATTCATAAACAGGGGGTTTGGCGGGTGCATGGAATCACTTTTGGATCTTTGTTTGGAGGACGGGCTGTTACACACGACTCACAACTGCTGACGTTCGAACATATCCGGAACAAGTATTTCACTGACGAATTTTGTTCGAACCACAACGCTATAAATGCTTCACCCACGTACTACAAATACAAATAATCGCCAACAGAACCTAAACACCTAACCTAACCTATCCTATGCCTATATATACACAATATGCTAATATATTATAATATTAATTTATACTTGAGAAAATTCCCGTTTTGAATAAACAGCATGTTAAAATTTATGAATGCGTCTGTGGGGTTGACCGCTGGATGTAATGGACTTGAGTCGAGGACGGGTTGGGTAAGCCAGCATATCCACGATTAATTAATCCCCTAATTCCTAGACAAGTCTAATACAACCCAACAGCCCTCTCTCTCCTCCCCCCTCCCAATGGCCCAGGAAATCCAAAGGTGCCGACAGCAACTTAGCAAACCACACTAGGCCTATGACCCCCAGGAGCGTTTAGTAAGCCATTAGGCCTAAGCAGACCTCAAACATGGCACCCGGGTAATCCGAAGCTCACTTTCTTCACCACACGACGTCAGGTTGACCTTCAAATGGCCCTCCCCCCCCCCCCACTAACTACGCCTCCCCCCCTTACTTTCCCATCGTTTCTTTATGACCTCATTCTTGACCTTATGACCCAACCTGCCGCTCTTAATGACCCTACCTCGGCTCGTATATCCCGCCGAATAGTCGCCTCCGCCGTTCCGAGTCGATGCTTGGGTGATTAAAGTGAAGATGAAGGGGCCTTGTTACTTTGAGGCTGCTAACTGGTTATTGGACCTATAAATGACGGGCTGGCTCCAATATGCCATTTTTGGAGGGGGTGGGGGGTAGGGGGGTTAACCGCTTTAATTTTTTATGCCGTTGTGAGGGGGGTTGTGTTAGGTACAAATGATCAGGCCTATTGGCTGGTCGACCAGGCTTCCTGGCTAGTCGACCAGGCCTCCTGGCTTCATGGCTGGTCGACCAGGCTTCATGGCTGGTCGACCAGGCTTCATGGCTGGTCGACCAGGCCTCCTGGCTGGTCGACCAGGCCTCTTGGCTGGTCGACCAGGCCTCCTGGCTGGTCGACCAGGCCTCCTGGCTGGTCGACCAGGCCTCCTGGCTGGTCGACCAGGCCTCCTGGCTGGCCAAAACTAGTTGTTTAACATGTAATAGTTAAGCTCTGCTCAGGGGTGGTTAAATTGCTGTGTATTTTAAAGAGGTATATTGCAATGTATTTTAAGTAGTGTCTTTCTCTCCCCCTCCACAGGGCGAGCCAGCTGGCGGCGCCACCCACCTCCTCCTCCTCACCAGCGCGACAAGAAGAACGCGAGCGACGGCGCCGCCGAAGAAGGAACTCCGGTGACCGCGACAGAGAGTCCTCAGGACGCAGGGACGGGCGGTCCAAGAGCGGCGGGGAGGAGCGGGAGGAGAGGCGCGCCCTGCCCACCGATTATCGAGGGGCGCTCTCCAAGTTCTCCCCGCCCGTCCCTCACGCTCTCCTCAAGAAGATTGGCACCAAGGATGTCCAGGGCCTGGGAAAGGTTAGTTACCCCTTTCTTCTAGCCTCCGTCTAGTTACGTTTTCTATGGTGAGCGCTCCGTTGAGATCACAGCTGGGTTGTGGTTGTGGTGGTAGGAAGAGGAAGAGTGCGGTGGTTGTGGTGGTAGGGGGAGGAAGAGTGCGGTGGTTGTGGTGGTAGGGGGAGGAAGAGTGCGGTGGTTGTGGTGGTAGGGGGAGGAAGAGTGCTGTGGTTGTGGTGGTAGGGGGAGGAAGAGTGCGGTTGTTGTGGTGGTAGGAGGAGGAAGAGTGCGGTGGTTGTGGTGGTAGGAGGAGGAAGAGTGCAGTGGTTGTGGTAGGGGGAGGAAGAGTGCGGTGGTTGTGGTGGTAGGGGGAGGAAGAGTGCGGTGGTTGTGGTGGTAGGGGGAGGAAGAGTGCGGTGGTTGTGGTGGTAGGAGGAGGAAGAGTGCGGTGGTTGTGGTGGTAGGGGGAGGAAGAGTGCGGTGGTTGTGGTGGTAGGGGGAGGAAGAGTGCGGTTTTTGTGGTGGTAGGGGGAGGAAGAGTGCGGTGGTTGTGGTGGTAGGGGGAGGAAGAGTGCGGTGGTTGTGGTGGTAGGGGGAGGAAGAGTGCTGTGGGTGTGGTGGTAGGGGGAGGAAGAGTGCGGTGGTTGTGGTGGTAGGGGGAGGAAGAGTGCGGTGGTTGTGGTGGTAGGGGGAGGAAGAGTGCGGTGGTTGTGGTGGTAGGGGGAGGAAGAGTGCGGTGGTTGTGGTGGTAGGGGGAGGAAGAGTGCGGTGGTTGTGGTGGTAGGGGGAGGAAGAGTGCGGTGGTTGTGGTGGTAGGGGGAGGAAGAGTGCGGTGGTTGTGGTGGTAGGGGGAGGAAGAGTGCGGTGGTTGTGGTGGTAGGGGGAGGCAGAATAGTCTCTCGCGGAGTCTGCTAGGTAGTAAGAGAATGAAAACTAAAGACATTAATAAGACCGTAAAAAGGTGTAATAATACTCTGTGAATGACTTCCTTGTAGACGTTCTGTGCTAAAGGGGGGGGGAGGAGGAGGAGGGGGGGGGGGGGGGTTGTGGCCATGTTGGTGACCCTCACTGACCTCTCACTGGGGGGGGGGTGACCTGTGCTGACCTCTCACGGTGGTTGACCCGTCACAGCGTGCGACGGTCCGCCATAGTAAAGGCAGTATAGGAAATATTGAAGGAACAGAGTAGATGTGTTCAAGAGAAAAGACACGTGCTGGAAGCAAGAAGTACTGGAGCAACAGGGTTGTAGTGGATATTTGGGCTCGCGGGCTGCTAGAAACAACAGCCTGTTGGATGAAGTTAGCATAAGTCAAGCCTGGCCCAAGGCCGGGCTTGGGGGAGTAGAAGAACTCTCAGAACCCACTCCAGGTAAACTCTCAGAACCCATTCCAGGTAAACTCTTAAGACAGTCAACTGGCTAGTATTGAAGACCGCTCCTCTTCCTTCACTACTCTTCCTCGCCCTCATCAAATTTTCCTGGACTGGTAAACCAGGCTGTTGGACGCGGCTGCTCGCAGCCTGACGTATGTGTCACAGCCTGATTGATCAGGTATCCTTTGGAGGTGTTCTTCAAGTTCTCTCTTGAACACTGTGAGGGGTCGGCCAGTTATGCCCCTTATATGTAGTGGAAGCGTGTTGAACAGTCTCGGGCCTCTGATGTTGATAGAGTTCTCTCTCAGAGTACCTGTTGCACCTCTGCTCTTCAACGGGGGTATTCTGCACATCCTGCCATGCCTTCTGGTCTCATGTGGTGTTATTTATGTGTGCAAATTTGGAACCAGTCCCCTCTTAATATTTTATAATGGGTAAATTGTTATGCTATTCTCTTGCTCTAGGGAATAATTTATAAATATCGTTCACAATAATATGGAAGTTTTATTGAATGAATTCCGGCAGTATATGAGTTGTGTATTCTCTCCAAATCAGCAGCTTTTCAGGTTTGAATGGGGGTAGTTAGTGAATGGGGGTAGTTAGTGAATGGGAGTAGTTAGTGAATGGCGGTAGTTAGTGAATGGGGGTAGTTAGTGAATGGGAGTAGTTAGTGAATGGCGGTAGTTAGTGAATGGGGGTAGTTAGTGAATGGGGGTAGTTAGTGAATGGGGGTAGTTAGTGAATGGGGGTAGTTAGTGAATGGGAGTAGTTAGTGAATGGCGGTAGTTAGTGAATGGCGGTAGTTAGTGAATGGGAGTAGTTAGTGAATGGCGGTAGTTAGTGAATGGGGGTAGTTAGTGAATGGGGGTAGTTAGTGAATGGCGGTAGTTAGTGAATGGGGGTAGTTAGTGAATGGGGGTAGTTAGTGAATGGGAGTAGTTAGTGAATGGCGGTAGTTAGTGAATGGCGGTAGTTAGTGAATGGCGGTAGTTAGTGAATGGGGGTAGTTAGTGAATGGCGGTAGTTAGTGAATGGCGGTAGTTAGTGAATGGCGGTAGTTAGTGAATGGGAGTAGTTAGTGAATGGCGGTAGTTAGTGAATGGCGGTAGTTAGTGTGCAGCGATATTTCACGGAAAACATAACAATTAGAATGAAAATTGCTCAGATGATCCTGAAAATTGCAAACAGGTGCCAAGAAAGTCTTCCAGGGTGCCAAGAAAGTCTTCCAGGGTGCCAAGAAAGTCTTCCAGGGTGCCAAGAAAGTCTTCCAGGGTGCCAAGAAAGTCTTCCAGGGTGCCAAGGACAACATGGTATTCAACGGTTACTATAAAGTCTTAACTTTTGTATCATTGGAAAAACGCATGTGCTCACCTAATTGTGCTTAACTGGTGGTTGGCCTTCGGCTCTTTGCTCCCGCCTCTCAACCTTCAGTCATCTGATGTACAGGTTCCCGAGTCTCTTATCATAACAATCTCGAGTCTTGCAGGGCCGTTGTTCAATCCCAGATGGTCAAAGTGATTGTGCACCGATAAATCTTATTTAAATGGATATAATTTATTGCTAAAAGCAAGTGGGGGGGGATGTAACAATTATTTTTATTTGCTCATACAGAATGAAAAAGACGAAAAATTATGATTTCTAATGAGGATAGGCCTTGTTTGTGTGTGTGTGGGGGGGGGGGGGGGGGTAGTAATGTTGATGTTAATGAGAGTGAAATGATGGCCGTGGTTCGAGGCTGGGATAACTAACGGCTCTAACCATCACACCTATAGGCCCACGTGCAGCCGTGTAGAGAGTAGGCCTATTTCTAATATTATTTCTAAATGTTGTCAGTCGTTATTGACTAATGATTCAATACTGCTACTAGCTTGCTACATCTATTAGGCTACCACGATTACTGTTCGCCTACCACGACTACTTACTGTCCTACAACGATTACAATACTACTACTATTACTACTACTATGATAGTGATAGTACTCTGAATCCCAACATAACGCAGAATAGTTCATCCCTTTACCCCCTTAATCCCTCTTAATCCTCCCAAACCTCTTCTCCGGTGGATGGATTTGTGAACAGTTTTAACGGATTATTGGATTAGTGTAGTGGATTAAATCTTAATGATATAAGAGGAGGTATAGGGCGGGAGGTATGGATAACCAGGGGGGGGGGTGTTTCCCCCCCCCCTGATAGGTCGCCCAGGGGGGGCTGTATCTACCCCCCTAGAGTAAGGGGCGTCTGCTTGTCGTGTGCTGTAAGACTGGAGTGTTTGTTGATGATGAAGAAGATTAAGCCACCCAAAAGGTGGCACGGGCACGAATAGCCCGTAAGGAGTGTTTGTTGTACTAAATTGTTATTTATAGCCGTGTGTGTGTGTGTGTGTGTGTGTGTGTGTGTGTGTGTGTGTGTGTGTGTGTGTGTGTGTGTGTGAGAGAGAGAGAGAGAGAGAGAGATTTACAGCACATTGTTGGTATAGGCCAAAAAAAAGAGTTCCTGTGATCTATCACCTGTCATACTCTTCGCTAGGCCTGATAGACTATAGTGTTATAAAAAAGGACTATATAATATAGCCTGCCTAGTTATAGGAAGGATTTATATAGTGTTGTTAATATCCAGTTGGTTAGGAGGGAGAAGAGGTTATAGCCTTACCCCCCCCCCCTCCCCTTCCCATTCTCTGTCTCTGTCTCTGTCTCTGTCTCTGTCTCTGTCTCTGTCTCTGTCTCTGTCTCTGTCTCTGTCTCTCTCTCTCTCTCTCTCTCTCTCTCTCTCTCTCTCTCTCTCTCTCTCTCTCTCTTCTCTTTTTCTCTCTTTCTCTCTCTCTTTCTTCTCTCTCTCTTTCTCTCTTTCTCTTCTCTCTCTCTTTTTCTCTCTCTTTCTCTCTCTCTCTCTCTCTCTCTCTCTCTCTCTCTCTCTCTCTCTCTCTCTCTCTCTCTCTCTCTCTCTCTCTCTCTCTCTTTTTTTCTAGTAGCATCGTAGACGACTGCCATTGTCAGCCAATACTTCATGTTTAGTAATAGGTCCATTGAGTAATTGATTTGTAGGACTTTCCTGTTTTATCATCGAGGGGTCGCTTAGACGATCATTAGTAGTCACATGACCACGAGCACTGTGACTACTGATTGGCTTAGTAATGAGGACGGCCCTCTGGCAGCGTCAGGGGGGGGGGCCTGAAGGGGGTTTCTGGGTCCAGAGTGTCCCTCCAATCACCCTTCGGGGACGGGATGCTGACCCTGGGGAACTCTGGGGGACTTTGGGGGGACCCTGGGGGACCCTGGGGGACCCTGAAGGACCCTGGGGGACCCTGAAGGACCCTGGGGGACCCTGAAGGACCCTGGGGGACCCTGAAGGACCCTGGGGACCCTGGGGGACCCTGGGGGACCCTGAAGGACCCTGGGGGACCCTAGGGGAACTCTGGGGAACTTGGAGCATGCCTTGTGATGGCTTGACGTCATTGTGTCGTCTAGGAGCCTCGAGAGATCAAACAATCGCTTGTTTCAGAGATAATGATATCTGGAACTATAATTGGAGCCTATCCCAAGAAGCAGAAACTATATGGCGGTGGAGCGAGTCTCTGCTACCGCCCTGCCCATGCCCTGAGAGAGGGTGGGAGGGGGGGTGGGGGAGACTTATGGGAAGAGGATGGGGGGAAAG